TAAATTTTATTTTTAACATACATTCAATATTCTGTAGTTTTATCTCCTGCAACACTGGGAGAGCAAATTTCATGTGAAAATGTTTTTTACTCAAGAAGCATCTTAAATCTTGAATGACAAGGGAAAGAATTCCATATACATGTACAGATGCCACTGATTTTTTCCCTAGTTACCCATTAGCCATTTAATGTCGAATTCAGCCACTAGAACTTTTCAGACCAGTCTCATAGGGTCCCGTTGGTGGTTGGTAGTGTTGTCTGGAGAAAAGTCCATCAGTGGGAAAAATCCAGCATCATACTACTAGCCAATGACATACATGTAGGGAGATGCATCATGTATGGTACATTGTATAGGATGTAGAGATCATGTGCTCAATCAATTACTTAATCTTCTCCCCCTCCTGTCAAGGTTTCAAGTTAACACCTGGGCAGTGGAGCAAGGAAATGATCTCCTTTTATGGTATACATGAAAATATAATTCCGCTGAACTGGAAAATAAGAGGTATTTTCTGGGCAACTCATGGTGTCCCAACAAAATCCCAGAAGGACCTAGCAAATAAGTACAAAAAGCACGGTGTGAAGTATGATCAAGGATCAAGCCACTGAAATCAACAACTACAATATGAAACAACTGGCTGACTCACCTTGCTGCTTAAAGCTTTTTGGCGGCCTCATTTATTTCAAACAAGAAATCACAGGTATACTTACAAACGGATTCAATATTGCAATTGCTGCAGGATTTTAAAGAAAGTTAAATCACTAAAATGGTTGCTCCCTGTTTCTAGCAGGATTCAACAGGGCTACACAACCTATATATTTCTGTACATCTTGGCCAATTTCAAATGTACGTGCATGTACATGGGCATGGATTACTTTCACTCTTAAGTCTAAGAATTCTTTTTGTAAGCTTAGCACATACACGCTTGATTTCTACTGTTCCATTAGATGGAATAGTACAGCCCAAAATTTAGTACTCGGTAGAAATGATATGGAGAGCAGTCTACATACAGTATGTACACCAAAATTCTGTTAAAGTAAAATATGGGGGGCAAAATGTACAAAAAATAAATTATGATAAAAGTTTTACCGGAATGTACACTCATCAAATTTCTCAAAATTTGCAACTGGATGTACACATACATGTACCCTTCAAACATTTTCCTGGCTCAGTGTAAGCCGTGTGAGCGTGAGCATTCATTTCAAACTGCTATTTTTGACAGAGCAAAAATCCTAGCTGCAGATCCTGCGGCTTGCAGATAGCCTGCTGGCGCTGGATATTTCCAGCTACATGTATCAATACCTATGCAACACTTAAATGTCATTTGGTCCTGAAAGATCCAAATGAAACCTTTTTTTCACTGTAAAAAGCATTTTCCACAACTAGCCGTAAACAGATTGCTACATCCAGCTTCCACTGTTTTTAATCAGTTATGATCTCCGTGGAGGTCAGTCCTTGCTAAAATGCCATAATGGCAAGACATCTGGGACCCCCAAAAATTCAATTTTCCCCCAAAAATACTTTCAAAATGCACTAAACTCTTAATAGAATTTTAACACAAATCAGTAAAGTGTTGTCAAAATACTGCAGTCTTCTCATGACGAGAGTATTAAATTGATCTTCCATAACAGAATGATTGCATGGCCAAGCCAACAAGCGGTGAAGGTACATGTACCTCCTTACATCAGGGTAACCACTCGCCTGCGTGTTAATAAAGATTAATAAATAGTTTTGTCAGATCATAAGAGGCACTGGTATTTGTGCCCCGGGATACATGTAAATAAACTGTCCCCCTTTTAGGTTACCTTTGCTAATCTGGGCTCTGTTCCCTACCACAGCATTGGGGCCAGAGTTACAGAAGTCAACCTATAACATATGGTATGTTGGCATGTGTACTAAGTGAATGCCATTCCAACTCCAACAAAACCTTTTTTGAGTTCAAAAGAGAAAAACTGATTATGTTTTGGAGAAGTTGGAAAGGAGAGCAATTAACTCTCATGGGCTAAAATGGTGGAGTTGGGCCTTTCTTTTAACGAAGTAGTCAGTTGAATTCATTGAATTCTTTTGAGTCTGAAACTCGGACCATCTGTGCTGGAATATTATTGGAATATTATTGAACAAAAATTCAAACGAGATTCAGATAGCAACTCAAATCTTCATATT